TATGCCTTGCATCCTTCGGAGCATTAGTCTCTCTGGATCACTAGATCAATTTGCCCATGAAGCTTAAAAATTACATAATTGCTCCCCCAGGGCCTGTGGTTCACACTGTTGGGTTGTTCTCTGCTGCCTTTCCCATGGTGTCCATCACCTGGGGAGAGCAGGGACAGCTCTGGATAGGGAGAGACATTAACTGTGACTGCCAGCGCTCGCGAAAATAGCGTCTGTTGTTCCCAGAAGAAGAAAAATCCCTTCACCCAGGTTTCCCGGCCCCATGTTTGAATAGTAACATTAGATGTACAAAGAGGAACACAAATAACTCCGCAGGTTTGTTGTCAGAAGAATGGTCTAAAAGCACTCTCGGGGATGAAAGCTGGCACTGAGACAGGAGCGGCACTGTCGTACCTTGTGGGAGTAGCCAGGCTAGGAGAAAGGGGAATTTCCTCTTTCTTTTCCCTGCTGCTTCAGGAGATTGTCTGTGTCCTAAAGCACAGCAAAACAGCAGCTTAGAAGGGCTGACATGTGGGATAGAAAGAGAAATATTGATGTTACTCACTTAGGCATGGCTGTAGCTAAGCATCGCCTCTGCTGTAAAACTGTCGGTCGTCCCGTGTGGCAGGGAGAATGGGCTAGACCAGACTCGGCCGATGAACCACTAACACACCGTTCGTGTTTCATGGTGCAGAAGCGCCTGTGGAGCCGGCTGGATTTCCTGTTCCAAAAAACTCCCAGGCCTCCCTGTGCATCCTCTGTGGGGCAGAGGGTCAGAGACCATCTCTCGCCCTCGCTGCCCCATCGGTTTGCAGCTGCCCGGTGGTTTCTCTGCCGTAGTTCATCTAACAGCATCGTTGGTTTGCTCCTCGCAAGCACTTGTTCTCTGCAGGATTGGTTTTCCCTCTCAAACAGAAGCGTATTTACCTTTCCTGGCACACAGCTCTGGAGCTGGGACTGCTGTCCTGGCCTCATACAGGTGGCTAAAGCCTTCTCCTTGCATCTCTGCTGCCTTCGGGAGAGTTTGTACAGTGCTGCTGAGCACTTTGCCTTGTGGCAAACGTGGTTGGGTGTAATCTCAGTTCTCCTGGGTTTCATACATAGCTAGTAAGTACGTCTTTAGAGTGTATGGGCTTTACTGGGACAAAGGATGCTTGCCTGCGCCCTGAGCTGGGGGAAACCCAGCGTTTGTACTATCCTGCTGCTTTTAAGCAAGGATGGACAAATCTCTCTCTGCTTTAGGAATTGCAGACTGTGAGATCTCATGCTGGAGATTGTATTTTAGTTCTGCATGGGATACGTATAGCCCTGTGCATCAGTTTCTCAAGTAGAGATGGCATGAAAAATTGGAAACTCATGGAGGAGTTTCAGGAAAGCTGGATCCTAAACCCAGCCCTCAGCTGCTGGGTGCATCTGGCCAAGGTCTCGGTGCCCAAAATGCCCAGGGATCCCCATGTTTTGGGGATCTACGTGCATCTGTGACTCACCTCTTGAACGTTGCTGGTTGCTGAAGCCTTGGATGGTTGCTCAGACCTGCTCTGGCAGTGGCAGTGCCTACCAGCTCTCCTTTGGCATGGGACAAAGCACTTTGCAAGGTAAGGAGGTGGCGGGGCATTGGGAGGAGATGGGAAAAGCCAAGCAGATCATGGAGATCAGGATATATGGGATGGTCTTGGAGAGACCTGCTGATGCCACAGGCAGGACACTGCTGAGCAGCTGTTGGAGCCGTTTTCTATTTTTAAAAATTTGAGTTGAAGATCCTGGCTAATTTCTTAGCCCCTTCCGCCTGCAAATTTTAATTAAAAAAGAGTAAGTGGCTTGGGTCTCTGACACAATCCCTTATTAAATTCACTCTCACAGGCTTGCTTTGATTCAATCAGAAATACTTAATGAGACCGTACCTGATGGAGTTGGTTCCCTTAAGGCTGGGTTGATGTTTGAGGCTGGCACAGCCACGGAGGAGGTGGGGTCCCTGTGAAGCCAGCGCTAATCCTGTCTGGCATCAGGCGAGCGCGGAGGACACTGTCTGTGCCAGGTCGTTGCTGGATGTCTGGGCTGCAGCTACTGACAGAGCTGTGAATTACTCTCGCTCTGTAGGATGAGCCTTGGCGGGTTGTGGGCTGTGTGCTGACTTCAGCGGAGAGCCCGTTTCTCCTGTAAGAAACTGGGATTTAAGTAAGGGCCATGAATTTCACACCCTTCGGTCTTAACCTTCTCACAGCAAGTAAAATCCTGCCTGCTTGTGATGAGGAAGTGGTGCCTGTAGTGTAAAGGCTGCAGCAGCGGTGCTGGGCTTTGGACCCCGCATGGTGGCCTGGCCGGATTGTGCACAGGTGAGAATTTTTGTGCCCGATCCTTCAATGCAATATTTTATGGGATGAGACCACAGTGGGTGAGGCTCAAGGGCTTTGTGGTGCTCTGGGTGAGCAAGCCCTTCAGGCTGGCTGCAGCCCTGACCCTTGGCAACTGTTTGCTACCCGGATGCTCCGCAGGGATGGAAAGGCAGAGGTGTGCTGGGGACAGCTGGTGACAGTACCAAGGTGCTGGGCAGCGGTACTGGTGCTGGGCAGCAAGGTACTGGTGACAGTACACAGGTGATGGGCAGCGCTGCTGAGGAGGGACAAAAGCAACTGCTGCCCCTTCAGATCGCAAAGCCAGCACTCCCAAATTGAGTTGTTCTTTTGGGATTCCTGGGCTCAAAGGCTGGCAGGACACTAATGGGCTTGTTGGCAGGTTTCCTAGGAAGGGAAAGGGAGCTCAGGAATTTGTGCTTTCCCGCACGTTCTGTGGGAGTGGAGCCAGCAGTGGTACAGCCACCAAAAGATATTTTGCAAATGTGTTGGTTTGGTGTCTGTTCTGTCAAGATGGGCCTCAGCTAACCTTTGCTAACTCTTTTCCTTCTTTTCCAGCTAAACGCCGTCCTGGTTTTCCTTCCAGTGACCGCAGCAGCTCTGAGCATTGCACAGTTGCTACCTAGTGGCCAGAGGAATGTAGTGGATCTATTTTTCTCCCCTGCTTTTCTGCAAGAGGATGGTGCTACTGAGGTACAGGCAGGACTCTGTTATGGGTAGTCATGTAGATGGCCGGGGTTATTGCTATTTTCAGTGGGTTAGCTGTCTGAAAAGGTTTTGGTTGATGTTGCAGCCACTAGAGAGGACTAAATTATTTAAGACAGAGTCTGTTGCAGTTGTGGACTGCATAGCTGAGGAACTTTGAAGTAGCTAACAGTGTTGGGGGGTTGATGTACTTGAAATCTGCTGGTAAGTAGAGGGGGACAAGCCCCATTACAAAGAAAAAACACTGGTAGCATAATATACTCAATATTTTATTATAAAATCCTCTAAAGCGCCACTTTATAGGTCACAGTTACAACAAAGGAAATGCCTTGAGTTAGGAAAACAATGGGGACATGAAGACATTGTTTAATGTTTCTTGTCTGGGGAATGTGTGTTGCTCGGGACTTGCCTGTGTTTACCATCCCCTGATGGAGATGCCCAGCAGGACCGCTGAAGCTGACCGGGCTGCGGTGCAGAAAGCAGAGCTGCTCCCATCCATCGCTGTCTCGGTACCGCTGTGAAATGTCTGGACGACAACTGGAGGAACACAGCGGGTGTACGGTGAGGGCATGGCACTACACATATATTTAGGGTGGAGAGAGGGTCTCCTGCTAGCTCATCGTGGGTCAAAACAAAAGCTTCGTGGTGTCTGTGACCTCTCTGTCCTTTGGAGAGGGATGTCTGGCCAGATGTTTGGTGGTTTGTGTGCATGAGTTTTCCTGTATCCAAACCTTGCACAGGGATAGGCCTGGGAGCTGGGGCTGATGAACTGCTCCTGAGGCCTGGGATTAGCAAATTCCTCCATTTGCACCACAGTGGAGACTTTCAAAGTAAAAATGGGAGTGAGGGCACCTTTCTTACCTCCAGGATACCCTGACAGTGTGCTTTGTTGCACTCCGGATCCGTGGTGGTGGCCAGCGAGCCCAGAGCCCCTCATCAGCACATCCTCGCTCACTCCGCTGTCAACTGCCAGCTCGGGGTGTCACAGCCCAGCACCCCCCTTGGCTCTTGGGCCTTTGTGCAAAGGAGCATCCCTTCAGAGGTGGCCTCAGGGCTGCCAAAGGTCTTCAGGGGTTAGGAAAGTACAACATTTGACTGTCTGCATTTACCTCGGTGCTGGGTGATGCTCATCGGTGTAGCTGCAGGACCCCAGGAACAACCCAGCCAGGGCACCGGTGCTGCTTCAGCTTTGCGGGCTGGAAAGCAGCTGCACCCCCCACGGTCACCCCAGTTACTGACCCTGGCCTGAAGGACCATCAGAGGAGATGGGCAGAGGCATCTCCAGGCCATCAGCCGTGACAGCAGGTTACAGGGAGGAGAAGGTGCATGGATTTCTCAGCTTCAAATTTCAACATCTCTTAAGTTTAGCAGTCCCAAATGTCCAACATCTGTCATTAGAAAGCTTGGCTAGGGTGGAGAGGGGTGGGCTTTGAGGGCCACACTGCCAGGGCCCAAAGGCTATATAAAGTTTAATAATTTGGAAATAATTTGGATTGTTTTTTCCACAGAACAAACTCCTCTGGTGAAGTAGATCAAGATCTTCAAGAAAATTAACTGACTCTGCTTGGTGGATTTTCTTTGTCCAGAGCCCTTGGTGCCACCAGCCTGTAGTACAGCTTACAGCACAAGGTGGTGAGCAGGGATCTTTCTCGGAATTCTGGCAGCTCTGCGGCAGGCAGGTAGGAGTAAGCACGTGCTGGGATGCGCTGGGACACTGATTAAAAATGCCCTGGGCAGGCTGCTGCGTGCTTCTCCCGCACGTCTCCAGCATCACCCAGGTGGGTATCGCCCTTGATGGATGAAATGCAGCCGCGTGATGCCTGGCAGCAAGGCAGGGGAGGCTTTAGTTGACTGCACGTTGCCACAACAGGCTGGAAACCACCCGGGTATAAAGAACAGTGGGGAGAGGCCCCTTCTGAACCCACTACTGTCGCTAATACAGAAACCTTAATAACGCACTGATAAACCTTCAGAGTAGAAATACACAGAACACCCCTATGTACAGTAACACTCTTGTTTACACCAACTGGGTTAGGAATTTGATGCGAGGATTGCCACTGGTTGTTATTGTTTTAGCTACGTGACTGGGACTTGTCTGGAAAGAGCAAGATCGTTTGGGGTAATTCGTATCGGCGGCTGTTGACTCCGTTGCTGCGTCTGAGCGGTTGGTGCGGCGTGGAGGAGGTGCTTGGTGTGTGGTTGTGTTGCACACCCAACCTTCACCTACAGATGATTGAATCCCCTTGGCCACGCATAGGCAATTCCAGTCTTTAGTCCATCTCTGAAAAATGTGGTTCTAACTAGCTCCCTTCTTCTCCCATTCCTGCCAAGATATAAAGGCAGATTAGTCAAAAGGCAAACCTCTGACAAGCCACAGTGACCATAATGTGCGCAGGATCAACCTGATCCGCTGGTACCCAAGTGTTGTGGGGTGCAGGGTGCGTCAGGGATGTCTCTCCCATTATAAGCAACACGCTTGTTTATTCACTTAAATCGCAGACAAGACAAGCCCGGGTGGAAAGACCAAGAGAAAACCAGGCTGGTCTGCTCCGAGTGTTGCTCGGTCAGGGGTGCTTCCCAGATGCCAGCCACCCCCACCAGCCCCATCCCACCACAGCCAGCCTGCTGCACTGCCAGGAGGGGAAAGCAGTGGCTGTCCCAGGTGCATTTTTCTCCTGTGCCAATCGGTGCGTTACCTTAGCTTTCTGTAGGACTGTCCCCTTCCCTGTCACCATGACGGATAAAGGCCGGTTTTTTAAAGCAGTTGCTGAATTGACTGGCGAGTTCTCTGCGCTGTTTGCCGGACTGGCGCTTTTTGCCTGAATCTGCAATAAGAATAGAAATGGTGATGACTCCAGACTACCAAGAGGGATTCCTCCCCTTCCCTGCCATCTCCTGGTCACAGTCCCATCGCACTTGCACTGAGGCACGTTTTTTCAGGGACGTGCCAGTTTCAAAATATCACAAGGATGCATGTAGTGTGTGTTTGGATGGTGAGGACTCAAGCAGAGGTACAGAGCAGGGCTCAGGTGGTGACCATCTCCATTTCATGGGAACCAAGTTCCCAAGAAGGAATTTAGATGCATGAATCTCACCCCCTGCCCCCATCCCCAAAAAAACCCCCACACTCCTTGGCTGAGTGCAGAGGGACCTGGTTGCAGACCTGCTCAGCCCCAGAGGGTGTTGCTTAAGGTCCCACAGGGAAATGCAGCTGCTTTCCTGAGCTGCGGCCCCCTTTCACCTTCCCGCTGCTGCTCTTACCTCATTATACTATTATACATGAAAAAATATGTTAATTATTATATATAATACTACTTGCATAACATGTAGTCTATACATTCATGTAAGATTGCACATTAAAATGTAATATTGTTACTAATTATTATATTATTAAGCAGGCTGAGAGAGTGTGACTGCCCGGCTGCTGGAAAGCTGCTGTGGATCGCAGGGGTGTCCCCCACGTACCCGAGGGGCTGCATTCTCCAGGTGCGTGGTGTCCACCGCGGTGCCCAGCGTCACAGGGCCGGACTCTGCCTTCTTCAGGTTCTCCTTCACCTCCACCAAACTCAGCTCCACATCCACTCTCCGGCTCTCCTTCCTTTTGCACTCTTCTTCTATCTCCTTCAGCCTCTGCTCCACGCTCTTGTCTGTGAAGGGAGAGGTAACTTGGTGCTGGCTGGGAACTTGGGGAGCTCATGAGGGGAGCAGGGACCAGGGCATGTCCTATACATTTTCCCTGTATCTTCCCTCCAGAGGGACTGTGACAGAGCAAGCTCTTGCTCTAGTGCAGTCTGGGCTACGTGGGTTGGCTCAAAGCACCGGATCTCCCTGCTGCCCCTTCTTGTCTCAGGTGGGCCAGGTCTATTGTCCCCTCCCTTCCTGTGGACCCACTTTGGCTCATTTCCATGCATCATCCCTTGCCCTGCTCTACCTGTGCTGCCCGTGAGCATCTCCTTCAGCTCCCGCCTCTCCTTGCGCAGCTGGGTGAGCTGAGCCCGGATTTCATCCTTTTCCTTCTCCAGCCGCTCCTTCTCCTCTGTGAACCGCTTCACCTCTGCCTCCGTCCTGTTCTTGCCCAGCTTGGTTTCCACTGCTGCTGCTGGAAACACAACACACCAAACAAGGTCAGCCAGGGAAAAAGCAGGAGGAAAGGCCTTTTCAGGCGCTTGGAGACAAAGCGAATGAGGGTCTGGAAAGTCACCAACCAGGAGACTCTTCAGCGCCTTGGGCATTGCAAAGCTACTGCATGGCAGGGGCGAGCTGAACCCCAGCATGAAACTCACACCTAGAGCACCCCCTCCTGCAGTGGGCACCCCCCGGCAGCCTGCTCACCCCCCCAATAAGCCTGCTCACCCGGCAGTGGCATCTTGGGCCGGTGTGCGGGCACCAGCTGGGGGCTGCCCGCTGTCACCGTCCCTGCTGGCACCTCGGGGGCGGGCTGGGGGGAGGCGATGTTCTGCTGCTGCGGCTGGATTTTGATGGTGGGCATCTGGGGGGGTGCCTCATCGGGCTCCGGCTTCTCTGGCTGTTGCTGGAGAGGGGAGAATTGAAGCGGGATGATGTGGTGGGGGACGCTGGCTTGCGGAAGAAGCCTGGCCCCGCACCACAGTTCAGGACAGTACCTGCTCCGAGGTCTCCATCGCCTTGCAAGAGGGCTCGGCTTCCTGAGCCACGGGGGCTGTCTCGGCTGTGCTCTCTCCTGCAGCCTTGCTGGCAGCCCGTTCTAAAGACGGTGAGCCGAGGGGTGAAGGCTGGCAGGGCTTCTTGCCAGCACAGTGTAGGAAGGACTTCACTGGGGTGAGATCCAGGTACACTCTGTCTTGGTCTCCTTCCAATTTGCTCTCACTCTTGGGTATTTCTTCCTGCAAAAGGAGAATGTTCCCCTGAAAAGGGACCATCTGCTGCAGCCAGAAGTACAGGAAACGTCTCACTGCAGCGCAGCAGCATCTCTATCTGTAGAGTGTTTTCCACGAACCTGAAAGGAACTAAAACCCCATTCTTGCAAGTCATTCCAGTTTGCTGATGGAAAATGCAGGCTGTCATCCCAGCTGCCTGAGGATCCCTACAGCACCCCACTGAAAACCTCTCATTAGTGACTCCCCGCCCAGCACTCACTTCTGCCCTGTTGCAAAAGCCAGGATTTCCCCATGGACTGGGAATCCCTTTTGCCTCTGTTGGGAAAACCTCCCCCCTTTGCCACTGGAGATTCCCCTGGCCAGACGTCTGCCCATGGCCTCTGCAGAGCTCGCTGCACAGGGCGGCTGCCTGCAGCCCTGGGCACCTTACCGCAGGCAGGTCTGGCAGATCCACGTCGTCGTACAGCTCCTCCTGCTGCGTCCTGCCCTTCGGCAGGTTGTCGATATAGGCGTTGGGCTCGGAGAACTTCCTCTGCATTAAGCTGTGAACAGCAGCGGGACATCCCATCAGCAGGGATCGGTCTCCCTGCCAAGGCTGCACCGTGCTGAATTTTGGGGGGCAGCGGTTCCAGGGTCTGCCCGGACCCCACATGTCCAGACACAGGAGATGAGGAGGTAGAGCCGTGCAGCAATGTGGTCACTGCTCCCGTTGCCCATGAGATGAGGCAGGAGCCACCAGAGAGGGGCGACACGTCCCCTCGGCTCTCTCCTTTCTCGCTCAACCCTCTGGCACAACTGCCCGGCTGCAGTGCCATGGCA